GTAAACACAGCACACAGGTGGGATGTGCAGCACGAGTGCTCTCTGCTCCTCACAGAGAGGTGATGGTGACGATTCCTGATGATGATGATGATGATGATGATGTTGATGATGGTGAGAAACTCTTTCAAAGTTATTTATTTATGAATGAATCATTACTCTAATCTAATGTTTGTGTTTCTTTTTCCAGGGTTAAATGAGAAATCAGGATCTAATCAAAGAAATTTAGGTATGTTAATGTTTGTACTTCTTACAGATTCAGTGTATTGTTACTTTCTAGGTGTTCAGATTCATTTTTTTTCTCCTTTCCCATTTTTTCTCAAAGTTCTCAGGATTTCAGTCATGGGAGCCTCTGTGTTGTTGGTTGCCTGTGGTTTTTTAGCTCCACTCATCTTTCTCCTGCTCAGAAAGAAAACTCAGAGCAGGTACTCGTCTTAAACATTATCTGTGTTGCACCTTCTCTCTTTCATTCAACTGATCAAAGTTTGTGCAGCTTTAACTATTCTTGAATCCTTCAGTCTGTCACACAGGGAGACGATTAAAATACTTGAAACCACAATCAGAAGTAATTCCATCTTTATCATCCGGTCATCTCACATTTGGAAAGTTACTTCATTCTTTTTCACTCTCTGATATGCTGAGACATTTGACCTCTAAGTTTCCTCTAGAGCTTCTTTTTTCTCTCATTTATTCGTAATCTGATGTTTACTGCACATCAAACAATCTCTGATACATATTCTGTTGTGCTGTCTAAGCTGTTAATCTGTGCAGAATACTTTGGTTTGCAGTATTAACAGAGTCATGTTTCACTGTTTTCGTTGTATGTTAAGGCATGAAACACCTTCAGTCAACCAAAGTGAAAACAGGCTTAAAAAGCGGAGACCTGAGAGAAACCAACCAAACCACGATCCAAGCCTTTCACCTTCACTTGCACAAAGACTTACTTTTTAAGAGCGTCGACTTGTTTTTTGGAGCAGGGTTTGCAGCTAGATGTCCGGCTTTTCTGTCCGGCACACATGTTCAAATGGACAGCTAGCATGTTCTGAACTCTTTTTAACTGGTTAATCAGTTAAAACTGAATTTACAGTAACTAAAGTGTCTGTTTTCACTTCCATTTCCTTCAGTAATCAGTATCCTTGCCCTCTTTGTCTTTGAAAACAAATTAGTCCCAGTATTAATTTGTACAACACTAATGATTCACTTGATCTTTGAAAATGTGCTCAAATGATTTCAAACACTAGATGTTAGCGGTGTAGCAATTCTGTAAAACCTTTAATACCTCGACTGTTTGAACACAACTTTTGCCGATACCTCAAAATTTCTTTAGGGTGAAGGTATATAAAAAACAACAAAACAGTATAACTGTTTTGTTACCAGAGGTCTGATCACATGATCAGGACTGTATCATGTGAATAATTTCTATGTATTTTCAGTTTACTTTCTGGATGTACTTAATTTGCAGAGACCAAGTTTTGTGTGCATCTGTAGTGTAGTGGTTAGTGCGCTTGATTGAATTGATTGGCAGCTCAAACGTTTTTTTACTCAGGAAGAATTTTTGTGTTTTTCAAAAGTGATCTGAATGTGATTGAAGTGAGAGTTTAAAGTTGACTTGTTTTGAAATTTCTCTTGTTTTTCAGTTTTACAGTGTGATGTTAGGATTTGAAACACAAAACCAGAATCATATTGATGTGTTGTGATTTGCTTTTTTAATGTAAATTCTTTGTACTATTTTTTATAACTTTTTTAAACATTAAACCTTTTATACAATAATTTTGGATGACTGGTTAAACTGCTTTTGCAGCCGAATACTCTTCAAATACAAATAACCACAATTAAAATCCCATATTGTGTTCACTTAGACGACAACAGATTTTCATGTGAAATTACACAAACAGACCACATGAGGTCTCTGTTTAGTCATGGTGAAGGTATGGAGGCTTTTCAAAATGTGAAAAAATGACATACAAATACACATGTTTATATATACATTCATGAAGTTTTCAGTTCTCAGCCCAGTAATAATTGTCATGTAAGAACATGCTGGTGTTTCTTGTCAGGTATTGTTGGTATAGTGTTTTAGTGGTTTTATTTAGTACTTTTGTTTATCTAGAAAAGTACTTTTAGTTTGATAATACAGCAAATCAGAGATGAAGCCTCGACGAAGTGAATTATGAAGATGCTAATTAGGTTACCTGTCTGTTATTTGGTGTGTTAGTAATCCTGAGCCTGTTTAGCATCAGTAGCTCACAGCTGAAAGAATAGTTTTAGGATTTTCATGATCAACCTGCAAATTATTTGCAGTTATATTGAGGCAAACAATGAGAGATATTTCATACTAACAATTGTATTTTTCAATTTTTAATTGTCTGTTTATTGTTATGTCCACAGTCAGAAACTGTTTCCCCCCTTCCTCCTCTTGGTGTCTCTGTGGGTTAAACAAAAGGAAGGAAATCTGTATGATCAGTGGCCTTTACACATTTACCAACGTGAGCATTACAAACACTTCTGTTAGGTCCATATGGACTGTGAATTAAGTTGGCAGGTAGCTTTTTCCTTTATAAAAAGTGGACCTGCAAGTTGTTACCCATATTTCAACTGAGTGTAAAAATACAGAATGTCTAATTAGTGATTTGAAGACACACAGAGCAGAAAAAATATACACTTGAAGATAACAACATGTAAACTTTCATGCAGTAAATTTTAGTCTCTTGCAGAGTTACAGTCACCGCACCAGCACACATTTTCATGAAGCACGGTAGCGTGTGGGAAGTGATCTCAAGAAAATACCCCTTACAGAGTAGCTCTGTGCAGAAGGTCATCATTTAAAAAAAGGATAAAGACTCACCGTTAGAGACTGAGGAGGACAGAATTATTAGCAAATGAGAAAATTTCACTTTTTAAAAGCTATTTCCCAGGAGCTGTTTAACAGAGCAAAGAGTTTGAAACACAGTTTGATCTTTGGATGTTTGCATTATTTTATTTTTCTCACACAAAGAAAATCATTTCATAAAAATAATAATGATATTAATGATTTTGCTTTTCTGCGTATGACGTGTCCTGACTGATCAAGAATAAACATTACATTAACAAGGTTAATCAATTAAAAACACAAGATAAGAAAGTAGTTTTATATTTTTAATGTGTGCACATTTTCAAACTAAACATCCTCATGTTCACTTCCTGTTAGTCGGAGTTTTACTCAGCTTTAGCTAAGCAGATAATCTCTAATCAGAGATCTAATGTCACGGTCTGGCTGGCAGACCGTGGGGATGAGGAAAGTAGGACCCAAAACGCAGGACTCTGCGATGCCACAGTGC